AATGAATCTCAGGCAGTCCATTTCTGTAGTTTTCTGCAGAAATTAATGACCCAATTCCATAGTTATTTAAAAATTGGACAGTGATCGTCTAAGAAGAGAAATATCTCAATAGGGAAGGATAGGGAATAAACACACACACACACACACACACACACACAAATCTAATTTATGGTAAAGGTGAGAGTAAAGTCAATGGGAAAAATGCAGTATCAGAAATCATCTGGGAAAAATCCCTACCTCATGCCATACACACAAAATTCAGATGGATTATGAGCTAAAAGTAAATTTAAAAATGTGTATGAGAGCATGTGTGTGTATAATAAAGGAGTTAAACATTTTTATAATTTTTAGGAACGAGGTGGGACATAGCAGGAGGTCTTTTAATGAAGACAGGTGACTCAGAAGCTGCAAACAGAAAAGGCATAGATTTAACATGAAAAGTTAAAAAAGAACATGATAAAATGGAGAATAAGCAAAGTTAAAAGAAAACTGAGTGAAAATGTTTTATACGCATATATACATATACGTATCACACGGTCATGCACACTTGTTTTTCTCCAATTAAGTTATTATTTCTAATATACAGATAATCTGTATAATGCAATAAGGAAAATGCAAACTAAATAGGCAAAAGATAAGGATAAGCAAATCACAGAAGAGTATAAATTACCAATAAATATGAATAGATAGATGTTCACTTTTACTAATAATCAAGAAACTAGAGATTAAACAAAAAATAGACATTTAAAAATTCATCAAATAGGCAAATTTTTTTTAAAAAATCAGTATTTATGGGATATGAGGAAGGACATTTTCATACATTTTTGCTGAGAATATAAATTGATATAGCTTTCTTCTGAGAACAGATTGGCAGTATCGAAATTTAAAATGCACATACCCTTTCGTATAGTAATGCCTCTTTTAGGAATCTACACCATAGAAAAATAGAGGTGTATAAGGATACATGTGCTAAAATATTCATCGCAGCATTAGTTGTAGTAGCAGAAAATTATAATCTATCTAAAATATCTAGCCATGTAAAAATATTTATAAAAAAAAAAACCCTATGGCATAGTGATACAGTAGAATACAGTGAAACCATTAAAAGGAGCAAAATCTAAAGCACTGACATGGCAACACATGGTAGGATATCCATAAATGAAAAATCACATCAAGGAACATATGTATATACAGCATGATTTAACTGGTGGTAAGTGGGTGGGTGGGTGGATGTATCTGTAGGCCAAGAAATTTAAAAAGGCTGGAAAAATATACACTGACCTATTAAAAATAGTTACAAATCTGAGGTATTAGAACTGCTGGGTTGATAGGAATTTCACTTTTTATTTTATGTAACTGTGAAGTGTTTGCAATTGGTTTTTTTTTTTATCACAAAGATGTAATGTTTTATAATGTTAAGAAAGAAAAGGAAATTATAAATGCTAACGAACCCAGTCATTGACCAAAAAGGAAGAATGTGGTTAAAATAATTGCCTTAAAAGATGGTATAGATGATGCTGTTGCCGAATGCGAACTTAAATAAACAAACAGAAAAACCTCTTTCTTGCTACTGCATTCATTTTTTTGTACTGGAATATTTATTTCAGTGGTTTCTCTCTGATTTTTTTTTTTATTGTGTTTAATTGATAGTATTTACTGGAGTTCAGTGAAAAACTATTTTGTAACTATCTCTCGTTGTGATGTATCTAGTATAATATCTCCTCCAATGAATTGACGGTGAGTGGGAAATTAGTAAAGCAGATACAGATCTGAAGAATTGTCTGTGGCTTTACTTATCTCCACAGGAAACCTTATTTTATATTGATAAAGTTTGAAATCTTTCCTGTAGCACTTTCTGATTGTTCACTGTCATTGTTAGTATTTTAACGAAAGGTAGAAATGAGCCACACCAACTTGCTTCTTTCCTTATACTAAATTTATTTCAAAGGAAATTCTTCAGCTAAATAAGTGAATGTGGGTGGAACCAGATTCTGACTCAACATGTCCATTTAATTGCTTCTAAACATTAAGAAACCCCCACACATCATAAAAAAATCAACCGGTAAAGAATGATTAGGTGAGACGTGAACTAGCTATAACCATCTTTGCTTACAAAACCCTGTTAAAGTTGACATTAATACTTGCCTTCTACTCTATTCTAAATAAAGATTTGTTGTAGAAATATGCCAAAGATAGTACAATAATAAAGAAAACAGATTCAGCTCAGATTTTGAAATATACCTAACAAACTCAACCTCTTGCAAAATAACTTTCTTATTCAAAATGGAACTGGGAATTGTTCAGCACACAATGAATCATCTTTTGGCAAGTACAATAGAATCTTTAGGGACATTTCACAGCCTCTTGTTCAATTGTTAGGATGTTTTTAGCTTTCACAGGTAGGGAAGAAGGAAGCTTGTATAGCCATCATCTTGTTGCTAAAATTGAACAGTAAAGATTTTTCAGAGTTGCTATTGCAATAGATCTTTTTGCTTTTAGTTTTCTTCCTGTTTCTTTACCCAGAGCTGCTTTTTGTCTCTCAAAAACAATCTGGAAATAGTTAATGCTAATGTTTTCTGGTTTTACTATTTACCCAAGTCTCAAATGTTAAACATTAATGTGGGAAACTCCCTTTTCCTTACCTCATAGCCCTATATTTATTTAACTGTTATTCTGCAAGAAGAAAACCTGTCTTTCTCTACGTTATTGTACCCTTTTTAAAAAAATTGACAAACACATTTTGTTTTTGTTTTCGCTTTTTTTCAGGAGGCTTTAGAGTTACCGCTGGATGATTTTGAAGTGACTGAGACCGCAGCAGCAACTGAAGTGGTTAAATATGAGTATCATGTCTTATATTCCTGTAGCTACCAAGTGCCTGTGCTTTACTTTAGGGCAAGCTTTTTAGGTAAGCCCTTGTTGGAAACTAAATGTAAATTCAAATGTTTACATATTAAGGCAGAAAGCAGATTTGGAAAATTCTTGAGAGGCAAAAAAATAGAGTTAAAAATAAGAAAACTGTGGGTGAGGTAAGGTTTTACCAGTAAATTTTCTCATGCTTTAGAAACAGTATCAAGACTTCAGAGTGAATGATATCATCCCAGCCTTAAGTCTGATCTTCAGATTCTTGGCCTCCTGCCCAACACTGACTAAGCCCCCCTGGCCCTTTTTTTCCTTTACTTTAAACAAGTAGGAACAACTTAAAGCTACAATGTTTATTTACTTCTAACTTTACAGTAAAAATTTCTTTCAATCTCAAGTGATCCCATTAACAAAAAGCCCCTGCGTCTTCTTCCCCAAATGCTAATAATTATTTCAAGAATCGTTTATCAATTAGTTTAAGCTATACTTAAATATAGCACTAATATTTCCTTTGGCCATCTATACATCTCCTGTGCCTTCACTTCCTGCAGTGCTGTTACTCAACTCATCCACCTTGCCAAGAAGGTGGAACACCCTGTCTCCTTGGAGGCCTTCGCTAATAAAGCTTATTTAATCAGCAACCACATGGAGTCCTCACCCTGCAGTGCAGCCGTGACTTCCCCCTTCATGTCCTCCAGCTAAACGGGGTCAGCGTTTCAAGGCCTTATGGGTCCTGGGCCCAGGGGCAGCAAAAGCCACTTCCCCAGCCCACCCCGTAGCCTATTTCTCCTTTCGATCTGGCCTTATCAGCAGCATTTTGCATTTTGAGCAGCCTTCTAACTTTGTCTGGATAGCTAAGACATCTGAATTTAGCCAGTGATATTTTATTTTTAATTAAAAAGTAGCTTAAGCTGCTTTGAATGTGTATTTGGTAGATTTAATCACTTGCTGCCTTATATTGTTTAATGGTCTCTAATTTTGCGGTGTTGGCGGTTTAACAAAGCACTTAGGATTTAAAACACAAGAACAAATTCTCATAGACTCCCTGGTGAGAAGATTTTAATCTGAGGTGCAGTTCCTAAGAACTGACAATTTGGGGTAAATTTTCAACATGGGACATAGGGAATTGAGGACACTGAAGGTTCACTAATTCACAAACTCTCGTTGCAGATTTATCCATATGATTATTTGGGGCCTTTTAAACACTCACTTTATTGTAATTCTGTTTGGTTTGGAGCCCAGAGGTTAAAGGAGGCTTCTTGTCAGTGAGCCGTATTATACTGAAAAGTAGGAAAAGATAACATTTATTTACCAGCGGGGAGGAAAATGTCTTTTTTGGTTCTGGTTTGCAATGGCTCTACCTAGTACCTTCTGGATTCAAAGACATGTAGAGGCTGCAGGTAGAGGAAATAGGACACTACTTCTTCAATACTGTACTTTCATATAATTAGTATTCACCATAAGCAGTTAATCACCAGAGAAGAGCTCCCAGAGACAAAACAAGTTGTTTAGCTTGTCAGCATTAGGGAATTGGAGGTGTTGAAACATGACTGCTTCTAGCTGGAAGTGGGTCTTGCCCAGGCTGCTGGATGAGCTCATACGTGTGCTTTGCTCTTATGTGCCAACAGCTCCCCTTACAGTACAGCACAGTAATTGTTCCTGCAAGTCCAATTATATTTTAATGAAATTTGTATACTTCCTAAGATCTTTCCTTCATGTTGGTTTTCTCTATCTTTAAAAAAAAAATTAGCATCTTTGGATTCTATTTATATACTTTTAAGAATTCTTTTATTATGCTTAATAAGAAAAACCAAAACAAGTCATTGATTTTGCGTTGAAGCATTCCTTGTTCTTACTCTTCCTCATTCTGTGTTGTATAGAATGAGTGTTAGAAATTTTTTAATTCCAGAATTCATTTAGTGCTTGTTCAGGTACAGTAAAATATCAAATTTAGTCTTTGCAGAGCATACCGAATATTTTCTTATGGTGAAACATGAAAAATGGTTCTTTTCCTTTATCCTATTCTAATAATTTCTTTTCTATTTTCCACCTAACTTGACTTAATGGGTCTTCTAAAAATGTATCACCCTTTACTCTGCAGTAATAATTTTTTGTTTATTCCCCTCAATCCATTCTCTTTTTCTGTAATATCTGATTTCTCTGGCTTTTCATCTGTTTGTTAAACAAATCTGTCAGTGTGGCAAATAGATTCCTAACATCTTCCTCTTATTCCAGGTCCAGATTTTTCTTTGTCTCATTCTAAGAGAGTTCCGACCTAGAAAAGAGGATGACTATAAAATTTCTTGCCTAGGGGTCTTTTTTGTTGCATCAAAAATAGTTCACTTAGCCTTGTTTTTGAATTTCTTTTGAATTTTTTTTGCATTTGATTGCTAGTAAAAATTAGTTTCTCTGGTTTGCTCTGAATTTTTTTCCAGTACCTCTTTTTATTTTTTTTTAGGAAAAGTAAGTACTAATTCCCATTTAAATTGACACTACCATTTCTTTTCTCAACTGGCTTAGATTCCAGAAGAAATCTTTATTCTGTCTTTGAAATGCAAATCCATTGGACTGTAGTGATCTCTTATTCCTCTGTATTGTCCAGTACCCACCAGGTTAACTAGTGCCTAAGACTCAGCTAACATGCCACTTGATCTTGTCACTCCCATGTCATATCGTATCATATGTCATATACCACACATATCATATTACACCACATCATATCATATGTCATATCACAAGTTGTACTTTGACAGAATTATTTGTTTACTTGTCTCTTGTGAAAAGTTAGCAGGTAGAACTTTAAAGTAAAGAGAGGGAAGAAGGAAATTAATATTAAGTACCTACAACCTCCAAAGTGATAAACTTTATTCATGGTTCTATGAGTGTGTGTGTGTGTGTGTGTGTGTGAGAGAGAGAGAGAGAGAGAGAGAGAAAGAGAGAGAAACAATGAGACACAGATATGACATATATATGTGTGTGTGTGTGTGTGTAGTTTTACTTATTTTGATACCCATAGTATCAACTGTGGCACAGTATCAGCAGGTATTTATTGAATGAAACAGTGAGGAATTTCTAACCATTTCTGAATACAGCCGTCAAATGGAAACTTTGTGATGGCGTCCTATTTGAACTGCTGTGATGAGTTATAAGGAAGTAAGTAATGCTCTTGTTTCCAGGAGACTCAGGACCCAACAATCTATTTATCTTCACTCTTTAGTTTGGTACTTCTCAGAGACTATAGGAGTAGCTGACTCAGGAAAAGAGAAAGTCCTGAAGACTCAAAGGTGGGCATCCAAACCAACTGAGCAGCTGCCCTACTTCTGATAACGCATATTTTTATTTGATCTTTGAAGGCAGACAGCTACATTGAGACAGATTTGCTCCTGAGTGCCTTGCGTTTCTACTACTTGGGCTTACAGGAGCTCAGTTCTCTAGTGGGTAAGATGGATTTAAGAGAAGACGTAAGTCCTTTCTAGTGTTCTTTATTTCCCTAATTACTCTTACCATTTCAGGTTTGAGAGAGATGGTAGGACAGGGTTAATAGCATTTGATACCCAGCAGTGGGTGAGAGACAATTGAACTGTCAAGTAATAATAAATAGCCCACGTTTGACTAGTGCTTTGTAGTTTGTGAAGTCCATCCTCACAAAATGTGGATATCTTGAAGTGCCCACTGTTTTTTTTTTTTTTCCTACTATATTTTGAAACACACTATGTTAAAGAGTTATTTGTACCTTATGAAAAGCTTCTATTCCCCCACCATTCCATCACCTTTTTATGTCCCATCTTCTCTTTTGGGGGCTTGGCTTTGGTCAAAAGCGGATGGAAAATACCAGAAATGTCATAAAAACCTTAGGCATGCACATAATGATTTTGCCTTCACCAGAGTCCTAAGCTTATATATTTTCCCTTTTCATTGATATAACTAGAGACTTCAATATTTCAACTGGAATTCTGATTAATTTCTTCTCTGTCCTTCTTCTTCCTTTGTTCTCAATCTCTATTGAAAAACAGACCAAGTGGTTCTTCTCATTTTCAAAATATTTAATTTTTTGGCTGACATATGGGTTCTTCTTGGGAATCGTTTTGACATATTTCTTTAATTAGTCAGATGGGCTGCTTTTGAATAGGGAAGGAAACATTTCTTCCATTCAGTAACTGAACATCCATTCTTTCTGTAGATCCCTTCTATTACTGGCCCAGGATATAAGAGTATAGAATTAAAAATGTAACCCAGATATTTCATTTGGAATATTTTTGTACTTGTTATATGTCTGAAGAATGCTTGCTTGCTTATAGAGGAACAAGGCAAATGATATAGCCAATGAATGATTCCTTCTCAAAGGCAACATAAACAAACCAAGATAAAGATCAGCATAAAGGAAGAATAATGGTAGGTTTGGAATTAGAACAGTGTTTGACTCATCAAGGAGGAAGAGGAAGAGGCTTGTCCATGGCCTGGAACAAGAGGATCTTTAGAGTGCAAAGAAGAGAATGGCAGGA